GCCGACGACAGAAAAGAAAGCTTTTGTGCAGTTCTTTATCAATATAATTCTTGACAGTAACTCCTGTTCTGCACTGCCGCAACAAGCGCGGTGAATCAGTGGACAGTGATCGCAAGAGAGATGGACATGGCATTGGACATGGTGGAGACAACGATTAAGGTCCGCGTTGTCTGCTTTCCTTTGTCATTCACACAGCCCGCATCGCCGGGGGAAAAACGCGCGGGAAAAAAGGAAGGCGGAACCGGATTCTTCCCTCTGGCACTTGGCTTCTTTTTTTTCCCCCTGGGTCTGTGTTACCGGAGCCTTAAAAAAATGCGGAGTGTTCACCCAAGCGTCTTTAGAAGTCATACTCCATTATTACCCCCTTTTTATTTCATAGGAATTCCGTGCCGCAAATACACCGAATTCCTTATCGTTAAGAAGTTCGTTTGATCTTTGATTCAGTGAACTCTCGTGGGAGTCTCGACGGGGTGACAGGAAAATGTGGAAGGGTCTGTCCTGCCCGTTGCTTCTCGGCTGCACACTTTTTCAGAATAGTTCTGAGGGCAGACAAGCGACGGACAAGATTATAATTGGTCTTCAAAGTCTTTTACACTTTTACATGTTTCATATTTTACTGATTTTGCAATATGTCTTGGTCTAGGCTGAATGATCCAGAGGAGGAGTGGCATGTTGACCCCATCACTTTTCGAGAAGCGAAAGATGTGGCGGTGGCCAAATGGCATCACGAGCCGTTTTGTCATTGTTGCAGTCGGCATAGACTTCTCCGTAGAGCGTTTCAAAATTCTTGTACTCTACGGTGACGTTGTGAATTTCACGCTGGAATGACTAGCTTAAAAATATATATACCATATGCCTATCCTACTGTAGATAAAGGGGGGAAACAGTATAGGACGGTGGTCCCAAAGCTTTTTGAGGTGAAGACCACAGGGAAACAGTGGTCAACCTGAAGCGGGCCGCATCGAAAAAAAAAAGCCTGCATCTCCTCGAGGTTTGCGAAGTTAAGCATGCAAAAGCGAATTATTAGTATGCCGTATTGTTCGCATGGGAGTAGAACCCGAGCCGCATGCGGTCCCCAAGTCATATTTTTAATACCGCTATTTAGGCACACCTACATGGTGCATGACACTAAAGAACCCTGCACTCTTAGAAGACTCAAAGTATCCCTTCTGAAGTGAGTTAGCGTTTTCATTTGTATACACTAAGTACAAAGACAGCAGAAGAAGCAAATTTATGAATGGATGGCTTTCGTTCGAAAGGTGAAATTAAATTGCTCAGAAACGTACAGGTAGAATCCCGTTACAAATAATATGTTCCAGTATCTACCAACATTTTATTTTTGGGGATTTTAGTAACTTCATGAAGCCAAATACGCCTCGTGGTACAACAGATTCTCCATTCCCTGTCAATACTGCACTTCAGGTTTAAGACCGAGTGATCAGCTCAATCGGCATGGGGAGTCTGTTCTCATATGTGGGAGATATCAACCATATAAGGAAGCAAAGTTTTTGTCAATAAAATTCAAAACAATTTGGGAAATTTTCCCAGAAAATAACCTTCAAAATTCAAGGAAATTCTCAATTGTTTGGCTTCCAGATATAATTAGGTTACGTTGTAGGCAAGACATTTAATTATATATATATTTATTTATTCCAGGAAAATCATTCAAACCAGTGAAGTCTGCTGCTTTAAAACAAAGAAAGGAATTGTATACCTGTATCTGCACACTCGCATATAACATACAAATTCCCAGAATAATGTATGACTTGCAATGTCAAAAAATAATAATTTTGCTGATGTGAAAATGACATGTGCCCATCGTTACCTGAAATCAGGGGCTGGAACAAAATAATTCTCACCCGACGATGTTTTCGTGTAGGTATTTTTTATGTTAATAATGCTACCATGGACCCCTCTAATGAAGATTCTTTTCCCGGGAAGTTTTTCAAATTTCGGGAAGCATCGCGGGCATCCCAGGTTCTACGGAGATTAGTGATTAAGTGGTCACGTGGTCGTTACGTCATGGCAATGGCGGCATGCATTTCAAGAGATGGAGTGCAGTATCGCGAACCTGTGCCTACCTCTGCTGGTATTAATCACAACACTTTCTATTGTCAAGAGTCTATTGCAAGTAGTTGGAAATGAGCGGCGAAGATGACTTGATCGACCTGATTGAAAGGAGGCTTCGATTGAAGAGGAAGATTGAAGAGGAAACGAGAAAGGAGATTGAGGTTTGTACCTGTAGACCTACCCTACAATCCTACGATGACCGGAATACGTCTGTCCTATGATAGGCCTGGTAAAATAACATTCTGTCTCTGTGATGACATGGACCTAAGCTTAGTTCGAGTCAGAGGAAGTGAAAGAGGGCAAAAGCAACCAGAGATCGTTGGGGGGGGGGTTATAGGTGAAGATAGAACGGAGATGGTGTTATCTATAAGTTGGTACAGCTATTGAGATGTATCCAATCGTTCTAACATGTCCAAGTTAAGTGAAGAAAATGTGCACCAATTGGGAAGTGCAGTTCAGATTATGTTTATCTTGAGTTTACAAGGCCTCTTTATGTTGTCTGAAACTACTAAATCTTTAGTTTTCAAAATTACAAGTGAAACTATTTCAACCTTTCTCAGACATATTTCCTGCTGGAAGCACGTGACATCAAACTACTGGAGGCAGACACTTCCTCATTATTTTGATGATCGCTTCGCCACGAAGTTCAGAATTGAAGTGAAAAGAATTACGTCGCATAAGCACGGTGGGAGAGTAAGGATGTGGAATGCCGACGACCTTTCAAGCGCATTAGATTAGGACACTAGAGTTCTGTGACTCTGATGGCTCCGACAATGAAAATGACAAGGACACCGAGAATGGAAATAATTGTGTTCTTTTGCTTCCTCTACCTGGAAATCCATTTTTGGGCTGAATGGCCGTACTTGCCGAGCTACGGAGCTCCTCCTTTCTGAGCAAACAATACAGGAGCCAAAATCATTGGGCGCAGCCTTGACGGAACGACGCAGCTATAAATTGAACCTAGTAGCTCATATGGGGAATAGTAGCTCATAATATGGAGGAATAGTTTGGGAGACATTTCACAATCATTTCCACGATAACAAATCACAGAGGCAAAGGGAAGAGAACTCTAGGTCTTTAGAGAATAGTGAGTTCGGCAGATCCCTGCCCGAGATGCAAGACCTGTGGGAACGGTTTAAGTGTTGTCAGAGAGTCACCTGACACGTTGATGGGGAAGGAAGGAATGGATATGGAATATAAGCGGCCTAGCAGCGTATAACATTGAAACAATATTGATTCAATGATGACTCAACATCCGGACGTTGAACCAATGTTGAATCAATGTTGATTCAATGTTATATGCTACTAGGGCAAAGCGCGGATAGAAAAAGTGGGGGGCACAGGAACTCTAGGAGACAAGGGGATTGTTCTCAGAGAGAACAGAGAAAGTTTTTAAACCTCTTTTCGACTTACTTTTGGTTCTTTTTCTGAAAATTAGGGGGGGGGGGGACACGCGTCCTACTTTTGTTGAAATTGAAAAATTGTGTTGAAATTGAAAAAACGAAGGAACTGGGCCATAAATGTCTCTGTGAACATGAGATGACAATCCCCCACATGCGATGAATTCACAGAATGCATTTACCGGATGATTCTGCTAAATTAGCGTCAGTTTCTCCGGCGTGATCCCTAAGTGAACGCTCCCATATAGCTCCAAGTTTCTCTCTTCTTAATTCCTCTCCAGTTAACGGAAGTTGAAAATCGCAGATGCCTCAGCATGGTCATTCACAGACGACAAGCACCTTCTTTCAGCAGAGCAGTGCTTCTTCATAACTACAGCGATTGAATATTTAGTGAGATGCAAAATGATAATAATAATAAAATTTCGCGCACCACTGAAACATTTCCAGTAATACACACAAGGTTTTTCCCTGTGCATGTTGGATCCATTTAACTACCCTAAGCAGGTTCCAGTCATTGAATTCCGTGGAAGAAAACGCTTACTGGCGTCTCATTTTCTCGACGACGATATGAGTTTCCATTGACACGAGATCTCAAAAATTCCAAAAGAATGACAACAGCAGCACAATGCTCCTAGTAATTGTATGCGGCTTTGATATCCTCATTGTTCATTGTCCCATTCTCTCCCCATGCTCAAGCACCATGGTCAGCAACTTGAAATATGAAGCCTGACTGGCTTTAGAAAATAGAAATTTGTATCGTTTCATGGCGCAGACGTCAGAATTACATTGTTATGAATATTTTAGGATGTAAATTAATTAAGGGGTTCACGCTATTAAACTCAATCATTCACTTGCATGGACGACTCTTCACTGTATTCAAGAGTCCCTTTCTGTGTTCGATATGCTTATGCATGTGGAAGCGGACGGTCGTTTTATTAGGAAGATGACGCCTTCAAGTAGTATGCGATTTTTTAAATTATTTCTCCTGCTTTTATAAATTCCGCGAACAGTGTACGAGGAAAAGGTGAAGTCCGAGTAAAAACCGCTTCTCAAGGAGGAAAAAGTCTACCTTCGAATGCCCCAAGCAAAAGCAAAGTTTTAGCACACAATTTAAACAGTTTAGTAAATCACAGATGATACATCTCTTCACAGGCGATTCTTTCTCCTCAGAATCTTGTTACCATGGTTTTACGAGCGTGATTTCGATGAGTCTGTCTAAAGAAAATATTGGCATTTTAGGCACGTTATAACCACCCTGAAAAACCATCATTTGCATTTTGCCTTTCTGATTTTAAGAGTTGCAAGATTTCGTTCAATGAGGGCCTTCTCGCAATGAACTACAAAGAGGCTCTGCCTTTCCAGAAAAGAGAAAGTTTGCAGAGAAATCGAACAAGTTCCTGCAAGCTTCAAGTTTAGCATTCACGAACTCAAATGCACAAAGAATTTTAGGGGACACCTTTTGTATCTACATGTGCATTGAAAATATCATATAAACGCCTTGAATTAAATTTAACGCAAAAATTCAAAAGCATGAAGTAGTTTTGACAGCAATTTAGTCACTTTATTATATTGGCTACTTTCATCGATCCTCCTTTTCCTCTATGCCTTCCAAACATTCTCTGGCAACGCAGCAACTCCCTTTGTTGTGCTGCCCAGCTCCTAGAGGGTTCGATAATTGCGAGTCACTTCATCTACTAACAAGGTGCTTAATAGCGATGCATGATCTGTTTTAGTAAGAGAAAAGCATTGTTGGCAAGTGTTCGGGAAGAGTAGGTTCCAGGTACACCTCAAAGCAGATATTCAATTTCAACCCTTTACAGTTACTAATGTCTGTTCTCAGGAATCTATTGGACCTGTTTTAGTGAACTGTATTCATGAACTTGAACTGGCTTTGACTTCTTTTGCAGGGAGGATCCAATCGTGGGAGCGTGGAAGTGCGTGAAGGTCAACCTGTACCGACTACGAATGACAGTCATAGCTTCAGAGAAAAAAACCTGTTCCATAACGATCAGCGAGCAGCATTTTACTCATTCCACTTTTTTCATAAGAAGTGAATCAAGGGATGAAATTAGGGAAGCGTCTCAGAGATTCAAGGTCTTGTACTACATAGGTTCGTGTAATTCTTCCATGACAGACCCCGGAGGCGGGGGAATCCCTTTTAACAACCCCATAGTTTTTTATAGTTTTTTTTCTATCATGTGGTTTTTTTTTCGGATTTGGCTCATGCATTTCACCATCCCAAGAATCCGGACGGGGGAAGGATCCTGCCTCCCATTGCAGCTTCCTACAAAGGACTGGTCAACCTCAATAAGAGACCTTGAAAGGGGATGCCTTATAAAAGGGGCCACCGCTTTTCTAGTCACTATTCGCCTCAGCTCCTTAGCCTGCAGGTGCTGTTCTTTTCCGCGCATGAGCGTTTGATCTACTTCGACCAACTCATCTACCTACAATCACGTAAGAACTTTCATATCATCACTGTTTTCCTATCTTTTATTGATGGTATGAACTGGTGATATCCCTCATCGGAGATTCACTGGGGATTAATCAACTTCATGATACGAAAATGAACCACATTCACTTGTGGAAGGAGTATTTAAATGGAGAGGCCAGAGCTGATTTCATTCCCACATATTTCCTTTTTCACCAAATTCCGCATCTCGAATCCAAATTCCTGGTTTGAATCATGTTTCTTTCCCCTTAAAAATTTAAAAGTTCAACGTTGGAAAAGGGGAATTCATCGAATTCGAAAAGCATCGGAATGGTGCTAATGAGCCTCCAACTCCCCTCCACCTCCTCCCCTTTAAACATACGTGGGGTTATCAAAAGTTCTGAGCCTGAGGCACTTCCAGTTGCAATACACCTTTTTTTACTTTAACATGAGAAGACATGTCTATAAAGGTGACTAGCTAAATTTCGTCATTTTCGTCGATTAAAGATAGCTTCTATGATCAATGTGCTACCAAAGTGTCTGCTGAAGGGGTCAACAGATCTTTCAGCAGCTGAGAGGATAGAGTCCTATAGATACGACTTTGAAAGATATCAAGGGAGATCGACTCCTTAGAAGCTAGAAAATTCATCAACAGCACTCATCTCACCTTTTATACCATTTCAGCAGACCCCTTTTTAGCAAATTGAAAAATGATCAAAGAAGCCATCTTTAATGGACAAATATGATGGAATTTTGCCTGTCACCATCAAAGACATCTGTCTTCTCATGATAAGAGTTAAAAAGGTGCATTGCAACTGGAAGTGCCTCAGGCTTCTTGATAACCCCACGTACAAACACGTTTCTCCTCGTTGTTTGCCTCTCCTTTTTGTTCCCTAATGTGAACATTTATTTTTAGTTCACATTCCTTTTCAGGATGAAATTCATCGGACTATTGGCTGCTCTCGTTCTCTTGGCCCTCTGCCTGGTCACCGGAGGAGATGCGCAGAGATTTGGATTCGGCTATGGCAGATACGGTGGCTATGGAAGAGGTTTCGGCGGATACGGCGGTTATGGCAGGGGATTCGGATACGGAAGGGGGTTTGGAGGATACGGCAGGGGATACGGAGGATACGGAAGGGGATTTGGAAGAGGCTTCGGCTTCTACGGCTAATCTCTCCCAACTGCTCGGCAACTGCTCTACCGAATGGTCTTTCCTGCACATCGTTACTACACTCGTTTCTGTAACATGCTGCTTCGAAAATACTTCGCTTCTCTATTTTTCAATAAAAGTTCCTTGCTAAAAGAAAATACTCATGTGTATTGGATGAGCGGTGATTTACGAGGGTTAGCAAAGAGGGAGTGCGGGAGTTCTATGCCTAAAGGCCATGCTCCTTGACTTTAGCAGTCATTTCTTGACTGCGACCAAATGCACCTTCCACACTGGTCGAAGAGCCCCCAAGCCAAATGCAACACAGCTGTGTACAACCTGAGAGCTCGTACTACACCACTTTAGAATATTTTACTGCTTCAGGGAAACAAAAAGCTCTCGACAGTGGTGGGTACGTCCTGTACACACCGAAGACAAGGAGTACTTTTCCCCTTGTCCACGAGAATGTCTCCTGGGCTGTCCAAGTCTCCTCCAAGTCTGTCTAATGTCTCCTTGGTCTGCTAAAGATTACCCCGAGGACAAGATGCAAACTTCAAATAATGCATTTGTATCAGGATATGATAAGATCTACAGGGAAGGAAATAGAAATATGAAGTGCTTTGAGGTGTTCCATGAAGATACCTTCCAATTGTACTCGCTCATGGAGATTCAATGGAAATTATTGGCATCACCTACCATCCGAGTCCTTCCAGTTTAAAAAATCAAGAAAACAACTTGAGTAATATGGACCACAATATTTCCTGTACTTTCGTGTTCGGAAAAGAAATCAATGCTCTAAATTCAACAAAATAGAAAAGCAACTGAATTCTCTGTACTTAGAGAAATGACATGTGCACTTATGGTTGGTTAGGTGCGCATGTCGTTGTCAATAGCGCTCGTAAGCAAAGAGCAAGAAAAGGCCACGCACAAGACAACAATTGTTATGTGCGCGCGGCATATCAATAGGGTTAATTGTGACTCGTGACTGTATACGAGGTAAAATAAATTATCAGCGTCAAACAAGGCCTAAATAAAGACCTCCTAAATTCGAAATGGTGGCGATAGTATTAATTTTAGATGCGTTTTCAGTCCCTGCTGAGATTTTACGCGTCCTTCTTGTTCGGTAATGTATTTGTAAATAGAGAGGCGCCTGAGTCAAAGACGCGTCTGCACAGTTGGAAGCGTAACTTTAAACTTCAAGCAATTAGCCATGTCTCCAGTTACGCATTGGCGAAGATGGTGCATACGTAGACGACCTATGGAAACCCTACGCGAGGTATGCAAAAACTTGTATCCTCTATTGATAGAATGCCGTTTTGCAGATATAAATCATTACATTCCGTGTGTGAGGTACATGCACTTGAAATCCACAGGATTACGCACACCCTGAACGTATGGATGCTGCAACCAGGCTCTTTTACAACATTATATTTACGAGCATTTCAAGAAAGTTTGGATCAGTTGTAGCTCTTCCTTTATGCCCCTCTTACTCAATCCCAGCGCTTTCTTGCTCTGTTGTAGAGTAATAGACAGCAAAGTGGAAAAGGCATGTCAAGGTCACCCTTTCTTCTCTTTTCTTAGTCCATTTTTTCCATCACTCCATGCGAAGTCGTGACGCAGTTCATGTCGCTTTTTTTTGCAGCATGTCATCTTAGTGATGTCAAATAACTCTTTGAGAAAGATTGAGTCCTCGTCCGATTGCACTCACTTCATATGATTTTATAAAAGCGTCAAAACAAGTAGCACCAGGGTTAATGAGCCAACGTGCAACATCAAGTTGACGGAAATGTCACCGTGCTATGATGTAAATGCGCGTATTGAAATTTACTATAACCTCCTTACCTATAAAATGCAGTGCATTTCGCATATGACGGAGAACCCAATTTCTTTCCTTTAAGGCATATTACCTGGTGTCCTTACCAGGTGCCTATGCAACGACAAAAAAAATTTGCAGAAATAATGTTGCCATTAAAAGCTGTTGCCGTTAGTTCACACTAACTTCAAATAGTTGAGGGCGACTCGAAGCAGAAAAACCACATGCCATTTTCCAAAAGGAGAACTGGATTGGGTTGGCTTAAAGATGGCTCCTGCATTGTCTAGACCTAGTCTAAATTGTTTGAAAGAATCCATGATTTAAACGACAGATTCTACGATTTCGTACCTCTAGAGCAGGGGTCGGGAACCTATGGCTCATGAGCCAAGTTTGGCTCACGAGTCGAAAAGTTTGGTTCATGGAGTCATGGCTGAAAATCATGGTTGTTCCTCATTTTTCTCATGTATCAAATTCATATGTTTGTTGCCAACTTCATGAAAAAATTATGTTATTCTGATAATCTTTCGCTCACAAGCACTTAGCTCAATCTTAATATGGTTCAAATGGTCAAAAATGTTTCCGACCCTTGCTCTAAAGGAATTAATCTGTCAAAAAATTTTCTGATTGCAATTAAGTTTAAGCTTGTAACTTTTCTATAGTGCATAGAATTAACTGAAATTTTGGGGGCAATTAGATGCAGGTTGAGCCATACATTCAACTGAATTTCCATTCAACTAACATTCTTTACCATACAACAACCTCCCTATCGTCAGGAAAAGTCAATTGTTGTTTATGTGCATCTTGTTACCCCCATTTTTCCTTCACTTTTGACGTTGGGTCTGGAAAGTGTGGTAGGCACCTGACGAAAAGTTAGCCTTCATCCTCCGGGTTGATCAATCCCATAGAGGGCATAATATTTCCTCGTTTCTCTATTCTCCTCATTTCACTACATCTTCAATGGCCACATAGCTTTGTCATCATCCTTCAGGCCTTTCTCGGGACCTCCTTCACTCTTCATGCCTATCCCAATTTTAGAAGTGATCACTGGTGTATTCGGCAATTTCCATAGAAAGAGATATGTCGTTGGATAGGAGATCCCAACTCTGCGACATACAGCAGGTACCAATTTTCCCACGAAGACGTACATCTAGGATGACATTCCCCACAAGCTACTATTTTTTACTATTTTACTAAGCGAAAATTGTCCTAAAAAATATGTAAGACAGCAGAATGTAAAGGCAAACACATGCAAAGAAATATCGAAGAGAGAAGAGTGGAGTATGATAACGTCAATCATGCACTTTTTATTTTAAGTCTTTACGGTGGCAAGGACCTCGTTGGAAAAAAAGTCGGAATTACGAAATACCGGGAAAATTCGTCAGTCTGGAAACACAAGGGAAAAAGGTATCTATATAATAATACCTTTGTTTGTCTGTTTGTCCGGGAACTCATCTCCCACTCATCGGATCCGAACGAATCCGGTAACAATGGTAAGCTTAGAACATCGGAAAGCTACAGATCCCATTTTCGTCGCTTTGCGACTAAAACTGAGAAACTTCGACATACACTTTCGCAAAGAGGCGGGGGCCAAATTTGTGGCTCAGTGGAAGCGTGTCGGACTCCGGAGACGGGGGACCACGGTCCGAAACCAGGCGGAATAGGACCTTTCCCCCCCAAGTCTAGGCCGCTGCGTTCTTAAAATCGGAGGCCCCTCGAGCAGGAAGCATTGCCGTCTATGCATGGGAAACGTTATACAATCTCAATGGTAAAAGCCGAATCTGGGCGCTGCTTCCCTGTAGTCACCATGAGGTAGAGGGGGGCGCGGAATATAAGTGATAAGCGCATGAGAGAAGCCAGGGAGTGCGGTGGTGGCGGGATGCTCCATGAAATAATGCGAAAAAATGTGATCCACGGTCCATGCGGAACTCTTTCCATCAATACCATCTACACGGAGAAAAGAACCTGCAAGAAAGAGTTTCGTAAAAAAAAAACTTTTTTGCGGAGACACAAGGAAACTGTGACGGCTACCTATCCTTGCTACCACAGGAGAGACAGCAGGAGAGTAGCCCCAGTCGGTCGACAAGAGTTGGACAACCAATGAGGCGTTTCGTACAACCCCTGGCCTCTCGCCCCAGACTTCAGATAAGTTCTTCCCATCGTTCAATACGGCAATAAGTGCAACATCCTTGCTACTTCCCTGAAATGAAGCTGCCAGCAACAGGAGTGCCATGCCGACCTCAATTACGCCCATTGGTCGTCCGCCTATTTTCGCCCATTTTTCACCACTTAATGGCTATCTCTGCTTCAATACCATCCCATTACAAGATTAAGTTTCCATGTCAAAGCATCGAAACGACAAAACATCGAAACGACTGAACATCGACGGCAAAACATCAACGAGACGAAACATCGACGTGACAAAACATAAGAATAAGCTTCCTTTCACGTGGAGGAGGACGACCAGGCTATGTGCCATTGATGGTCAGAAAAGACTTCGGTTTTATAATTATTCATAGTGATTCATTACTTCATCAAAGACTGAGTTTCTCTTTCTATGGGGGAGATTTTGCGGAGCCAATATTTGAGATACAAGGCTCGAGTGATTTCTTGAGTGACTTCTGAGTGACCTATTTTATTAATTTTTCTGCACCTTTGATACAAAGAAATAATGAATATTCAAAACCATCGGAAATTTTCTCAAATGTATTTCAAATTGTCAAAAAATGGAAACATGGTGACGCAATGAGCTTTTGCAACATTTCAATTCAAGCCAACAACGAAAAGAGATACATTTTATCTACTTGCTTAGTTTAAAACAATGACCAATTAAATGCAAAATGTCCAATCTTGCCATTTTCCACTCATTTTGACTGCTTACGTTTCCTGTTTTATATAGGATAAGAACGCGAAACAATTGTCAAATACAAACTCTCTCCAAGTTCTTCTTGCTGATGTTTGACTTATGCTGTTACTTTACATTTTAGAGTTGGTGCGGTTACCCTATCTGGTAACTTGCAATTTTCTCTCCTAAAATATTTAAAACTTCTTTTCCAACGATGGGAATCCAAGCAACAGGTCTGTGTTTATTTTGAAAATGACCAACGAATAGCCTTGGTTCCGATTTTTTACGGTTTCAAATAACAGTGAGCAGGAATTTGACATTTCTCTTATTTATGGTTCTATACCATGTGCAATATAGTGCTAAATCCGAGACCTTGAGAGAAGCATTAGACTGTCCTTGACTGTCCTTACAATTTAGCAAAATTGGCCTTTTTCTCCGGTTCAGGATTTGTGTCATACAGTACTAAATAATTTCCCCAAGATCTGCATTTACTATTTTACGGAAATGTTGAACCTGGGAAAGAAGTTCGACTATGGTCTCCTTGCAGTAAGAAAAAGAATTATCATAGACATTTAATTCAAACGTGTACCTACTCTGAAACAGGAAAAGAGGAAAAGGAATTATGGGAATTTGTATTATACAACTAGTTGTGCATACTAAAAAAAAACTAGAAACTAGAAGAAAAAAACTAGAAAAAGCATAGTACTCCTTAAACATTTCCTACAGCGCCAGCACTGAAAGTGGACTACTCCTGACATCTAACAGATGAATAGAAAGACAACTACTTTAGGAATTAATCGTCAGATGTCGCCTCCTGGCGACGACTGCGTGCTTCGTGAAACTTCTTTCCTCCAAACTCTTGATTTAGTTAATATTGATACAGTTGCTGCGTTAGCCTTGACATATCTCTGATGTCAAGGTGGTATAACAAGATGGCATGATATGCACAGTGGAGTAGACTCACTTTTTACCTATGGAAATCTGAACTTTACATATGGCATGGAGAAAGCCTAAATAGGCATATTTCCGACGTGTCACGTGCACAGCGCTCAAAGGTTGGCGAGTACACGCTAATAATATTCAGGCAGTGCTGAATTGTTCAGCAAAAGACAGGTACAAGGTGCTTATATTACCAGTTAACCCAAAAAAATGCACATTGTTAAGTGCATAATGGCTATCACTCCCACAACACATCACAACATAAGTTGGAAGTGGCCACCGTCATACTCAATACACAAGTGTGCACGGCGAAGCATGTTACTGGGCATAAACTGTAACACCGCTCGCTGAATGTTGAACTCATTTTCGGCAATCGCATGATTTCTATGGGATTATGGCCTCCGCGCTCAGCTGGTTTATCATCACCAGATTAATTTTTGTGCGGCTAAATTAAAGACCAGGCATATGAGAACAATCCCTGCACTCTGAAAGAGTTGGAACACAACATTACCTCCGTTATTGCCAACATTCAATCAGCGGTTTTACAGTCTTTGTCCAGCTACATAATAAGAGCACTTGTGTATTGAACATGGCGGTGGCCACTTCCACCATATATTGTGACATGTTGTGACTATGATTGTCATTTTGCACTTTACAATGTCCTGATTCTCACATCACCAAATTTCATGCATCTCTGAATTATAGTTCCTTTTTAATTGGTATTTATTTGAGTTAACTGATAAAATAAACACCCTGTATAATGACATCACAACTCCTACAACGCGGGCAAGTCCTTACCTTGTATTACCTTGTAAAGTTTCTTTTTAACGCTAGTATATACGTGGCCTAACATGAGGCCATTGACCTGTCGCATGAGACCCAACTGAGTCTGAATGCTTTAAATTTGAATTTGCGTCTTTAGGAGCCATGGGAAAACTAGGGAAGCCACGAGAGAGAAAACATGGCAGTCTGAAGCCCTTGGATGTTGCTGATGTTCACAACCTCCTAACCATTGTCTTGCGCCCAGGAACAATGTCATGAATATCTCCTCACATTATGACTGACCAGATTGTTGTGTGATGATTTAATGGTTTTAATCTGACCCTGTTTACCAGACAAGTGCTTGAATTTCGATTGTCGTGGAAATAACTCTAAGGGATTTAATCTATCCTAGAGTAACTGCGCTCGGCACAAGTTGCGACGGTTCACATAATTCATCGGGTTAGCAAAAAGCTCTGCATCCACCCTGGACGCTCATATAAGCAGAATAAACAAGCTTTGGATCATAATAGACTGAAGCGATTTTTATACCTCTCATGATACCTGATCATGATAGGTATAAAATGTTTCTGCACATGGCCAACTTATCAAACCTATCAAACGTATCATATGATACCCCCCAAAATAGCTATTTTATCAGTTTTATACGTTCTTGCATACCAGTCCATATCTACACATACCACAGAGGGGAAGGAGGAAATATGACATAGTTCCACGATAACTGCGCTGAAGTTACGATTGAACTAAGGGTTGATAAAGCAATAGAGAAAACGCCACTTGAAACAAATAGGCACGAATACGAGCGTGTAAGGAAGACATGCACAAGGATGATTTAAGAGTAAAAAAGTTCTCTAAAATCAAGCAGACCTGGTCAACACATACAGCAGTCACTAAGGGTAAACCTTTGGTATGTCCGGCAACTCTGAAACTCGACGACAATCCATAAGATACTGGCGAAATAAATCATAAATAGAAAAAAGCACTTCGCAAGCATCTTTTGGGTAATTGTGCCAAGCAGAGGAGAGAAAATTGGCAGAAACTGACAAATGTTATAAAGCAGGGGTGTCAAACTCAAATCGGTCGGCGGGCCACATTCCTTACCCTGCAGATGCCTGCGGGCCACACCCATAATTTTTTACCGAAATTTGTGCCAATAATCAACATGAGCAGAAAATTCAATGTATGTTTGACACCCCTGTTATAGAGGATACTAATACTAGACTGAGGACGAAATTATTAACGCAATAAGGACAAGAGAATTCCAAAATAAACGAAATTACAATTCGTAAGATTCGTAAGTTCAATTCGTAAGCTGGTGGAAATTCAGATATAAGACACATTTGAGGCTCATTCGATGGTGAGTTTTCCTCGAAATGAGGGCGTTTTCTGCTAACGTTCTCACACACGTGTTTTTTGTGCGAAGACGTGTTATCCTCGTTACCGTAATGGATCAGTGACATGGACTGTGAATTACCAAAAAAATTCAATGGATAGGGTTTACAGGACTAGAAGTTGGGAGTCTTATTCAACTAGACGTTGATTACTCGCACTTTCTGATACATGCCAGGAAAGTAAGCGTAATTGTAATGAATTTCATGATATAACCCCAGGCGAAGAAGTCCATAGGTGTGAGATCGGGAGAGTTCGCTGGCCAGGAAATAGACCCCCCCAAATCTACACCACGAGGGCCCAATCAAAGAAAAGGTGTATGTCGAATGACGAAGTGACAGACCTAATAAACCGCATACAGGAAGCATTCACCAGCCTCACGCTGGAAGTGTTAGCGAACACGTGGACGGCACTCTCAAACTGCAGGGAATTGTGTCGCCAGCAAGACGGTGGACATGTGGAGGACTGACAGATATTTTAACAAAAGACCTCACCACAAAAATGTATTAATACAAGTAGTGAGTTTATGCACGGGCAGTTTCATGGCAATAAAGTACTTTGTTACTGAATTATGAGAAATTATTTTGGGTCACACACATTGATATTTACGAATTGAAGTTTTCGTGCACTGTAATGTGCCTGTATATTTACGGTTCGGTTCAAAACGATCATGGCAGCTTCTGCTATCTATCTGCAAGTCAAGGAACTTTAATGAGGAACATTAACACTAGGACTCAGTTTAGGTGATGAAATGCATTTATTATTTACACAGGGTCTAGCTGATCTGTTAGCTGTTAGCCGTGGCGGTTATACATTGTTCGTACAGAAGGAGGCAATGTGATAAACAATAAGGGATCTAGATTGGATAAAATTTGATCAGTATTTCAAGATGATCTATATACCTGGCGGGTATGGCGGAGAACGATTCATAGCCATCACTTTTACTTGCATTTGAAAACACAAAACTTGAACAATGTGTTTTCATTGGACAGAATATTTAGGGAAATGGTAGTTGAAAAGGTGAATGGTAAGATTTTGCGTGTCTACCTCAGCAATTATTACAAAATTAAGATTAAAATTGGCATAAATCAGTACTATCTATCCAATTCATTTAATGGATCGCTCAAAAGTTAAATTAAACCTGATATTTTAATTTTTTTATTTTAATATTATAATAAATCTTCGCAAATGTTGCAACTGAATCTTTCCAAGCATACTTCGGAACTTGTTTTAAAAATAAACCAAAGGTTTTATCTTGGACATAGCCTCTGAAACATCAAACTATACTATTATAGAAAAGCCTCCGAGTCGCTAAGAAAGCATTCCCAAGGGCAAGGCGCACGCTAAAAAATTCACTCAACAGGTTAATGAATAGGTTCCGCGGAATTCCCCTCGAAATAAAAGCGTGGGGATTCCCCCTCGAGTAATAGCTTTACTTTACCGCAGCAGAGACCTTCTGTTCTTAATAATGCAAGGCGTCACCAAGGAAGCTGGAAGGGGAGGGATCCTATCTCCACCCATCGAGCATCACTGTATAGTATTGGCCAGGAAATGGCCTTGAAACCAGGGATAGAGTATAAAAGAGATCGCTTCTTTTCACGGTCACTTGTCGCCCTCAGCCTCTGTCTGAACGGACTCTTTCATCGCCATACACGTGCATCTACGTCGCTTCCTTCATCCATTATCACGTGAGCATTTTCATATCTTCGAACCCACGCCATCTGTTTTCATGTCTTGCCGTGATAATACATTTTGCAATTATCTGCAAAGTGTAGAATTTGCATGATTAAAATAATAAAAAGTTTGGAAAAGGGAGGAAAATAATATTTTTACTGCTTGGAATAGGTCTCCACGTCAAGTCGTAACGTTAGATCTTTTCTCTCTTCTGGTTCTTATGATGCAAGCCTTTTCTTTTTAACTGAAATTAAATTTTTATGTAAGTTTGTCTGATCCTCTTTTTCACACATTTATTGCGGTTTCCTTCAGGATTACTAAATATCCTAAAAATAAATTGTTTCAAGTTTACTCTTGATCTGGTTATTGTCATCAGCGTTAACTGCATTTCATGTTTTCTTAAGAGGGCCATCATAAGTAGAAATACATAAGAAAAGGCATGGCACAGACAAGTCCACAATTCTTGCCTTCTTTCCTACAGTAAAACTTAATACGCTCAGGTTCAATGTTATAGTTCTTTTCCATAGTGTTACTATAGCCATTTTTCCATTGCTGATTGATCAGCGATTAGAAGTGAGGTAGGGAGTAGTGATCACTTGAGGAGTTGGAGAAAAGTCGACTTCTGGCCATGTATACTCCTTGGGATTATTTTTCTACCAGCGTCCTCCTCATTAACTAAATTAACCATTCATATTGTCCTCTAAGTAATTCATCACCTCTCTTTTTTCCCCATACAGAATGAAATTCGTTGGACTCTTCGCTGCACTCTTTCTCCTGGCCCTCTGCCTGGCCGTCGGTGACGCGCAGAGATTTGGATTTGGAGGACGCGGATTCGGTGGACGCGGATTCGGAGGATTCGGCGGACGCGGATTCGGTGGATTCGGCGGACGCGGATTCGGTGGATACGGCGGGCGCGGATTCGGTGGATTCGGTGGCAGACGCTTTGGCTTCTTCGGCTAAACCTCTCTCAACTTCTCGTCAAACAACGCCATGACTCACCTAGTAGCGCATCTTGATTCCATGCTTTTCTGCCACACATAGCTTTGCACATCCGTTGTGGCTCTTTTCTTTCAATAAAAGTCTCTAAATGCTACAAATGTGATTACAATTCTTGAAACCTCTTCTTAGCACTTGACGCTGGATGACCTACAGGATGTCCAGGAAACACCTTTAGCACTTCAGCCACACATATTTATATATGTGTAGCTTTTGTAAACAGTGCAAACGGAAACTAGATATGCCTAGAATTGTAAACGAAGGATTTTTAATCTCTCCCCATTTAGATATTCACACATAATATATTTTCCATGATTCTGAGATATTCTTCTATTGCTTTCACTGATTAAGAAGCTTATAAGGGGTTGGAGTAAACGTCTCATTGCTTTTTTCAAGGTAGATCAGAGAGACAATAATAGAAAACACTACCCCATGGTTTGATTCTAGAAGCAATTTTCCTTATTTTCCTCTGGGATCCGATTTTACGTATTTGTAGTTCTTGATATTTAGGCGTGATCCCGACTCCTTTCCTCTTCAATCTGGACAGCATTATCAATGTGAGAAAGAAGAAAGATACAATATGACTATCACAGGAATCCCTCTTATCCATAGAAACCAAATTTCTTTGAAAGAAGAAATAAATAATCCATTACAACAACATAATGTGCACCATTGGTGAAAATGGACCTGCGTTAACGTAGGTTAACCTCAGTTAACCTCGTGTGTTAACATACGAAGGCGACACATGCTAACGAGGGCGTCAACATAAGTCAACCTAGGCTAACCTAACCCAGGCAGCACATGTATGTTTAATTCGTATCAACTTGATGTGGACACATCCACAACATGCAAGTGGATGTGACATGAACTCACGTTCATATTTACCAGGCCATTCCATCAATAACTTGTCAATTGTGTACCTCTCCACCAAAATCAATATTGACACATGAATTTAGCAAGAAATTCATGTTGGTATTTACAAGGTCATTCTATCCCAAGTAACACCAGAACGCGTAATGAACGTTCAATGAACGCGTTGCCAACGTTCTACGAACGTCCTCGAAAGCGTTCCTTGACTGTTCAAATGTTCGAAATTTAGAGCGATCAAAAACAGTTCAAATTATGCATTCCCCGAATGCAATTATTGTGATAGGAAGTACTGTCGTTCTTCATTCGGGAATAAAGGCATCCCAAGCTTAGGGTGCGAGCGAGAATCCTTTCTTAAGCGCTACTCTATCGCCGATATATGTATTAGAGGAGTTCCTCCTCTGCGCCGGAGACGCATGCGAAGGAAGACTTAGAGAACGGGATTTCTCAGACGCCACAGATGTGACTTATTTGTAGAATGATGAAATGAATTATCTTCGACTCTTGATAAAGTCAACTTGGAAATTGAACCACTCCTGGAGGAGAATGAAGGTACTTTTCATCATGCATGAAATTCTCGTCATATTGACGTAGTATTAACATGAAAGAGTCAATAGGGGCCGTTCAAAAATTACGTAACGCAAAGGGGGGAGGGGGGATCAGACGAAGTGTTACGATTTGTTACAGGGAGAGGAGGTGGGTTTGCACGAATGTCACGTAACAAGTTTTTTTCATTAAAAATAAATAAATTATCGACTGGAATTTCTTATTAGAAGGGTAATTGCTTAGTTTTAAAAAAAATCACACACACGACACAGAACCAACCCTACTACCCACCCGCACCCACCACCTTTAATAACAGTGGAGTGGGCATTGGATGCGTGGGAACGTCTGTTGACTTCCTTTTCCCCTGTTGCGAAACTCGCAAAGTCGCAGTTTCATGCCTGGACCTACCCAGACAGGCTAAACAGGCTCAGTTACCCTTTGGACGTTGCCCTCATTCGTTTCTCTCTCGGCATCGCAATCTTTATTTCCACCATTCTACCCTACATTTCCCCGTCTCCTTTTACTCTTTTTTTTTGTCTCAAATGGGTGACCACCATCAATCAAGGTGAACAAAGACAATGGAAAATTATTTCTTGAAGAAGGAACCGAATGAAAATACGGTTTCAACTTTCCTTTCCTTTTTTAAAACATTTTAATCATCTCTCAATGTGTGCAATCCAGAGTGTTAGTTATAAGTGTCTAATAAGCAAGTTTCTTTTTCAACTGCATTTTACTTGTTTATTTATATCATTATTTTTAAAAATTATGGAGAGAGGGGGGGTCATAGTTTGTCACGTAATTATTTTGGGGGTAGAGGCTTTTGTTACGGAGTGTTACAAGTTGGAGGGGGGGAGGTCAAAAAAGTTCAAAAATCACGTTACGTAATTTGTGAACGGCCCCATAAGTGTGCTATTTGGGAAGTTCATGGAGTTACCAACCTAGGTTAACCTATGTTGTTCCATTTTAACCTATGTTAACCCATAGATTAGCATATGGTGCATTTTTGAAAGGGTTCTTCAATTTAAACCAAAATAAAGAATCTTTTTTAAAATAAATAAAAAATAGGTTGAAGCGTTATAGTTTTTTCCAAGCAAAATTTCAGGTAAATTTGAAGACTCGACACTGTTCATGGACATATTTCATATGTTCATATTTCCGCAAAATGCCTTAAATTTATTGTAGGCATTCTGCATTAGATACATGAAAATTGCAGGCAAAGCCAGTCTAATGTTTCAGCTGTCCATGAACGGTGTCGAGTCTTCAATTTTACTGTAAATTTTTAAGGGGAGCTCTGGGAGCATTTTCAATCGCCTCTTTTCGTCTTTTGTCACTGGAGAAGTGAAGAAGTGAAGAGAAACAAGTTGCGTAATGGTAAGTTCTGTTGCCATCCAATTAGTTGGGCAATATCCCATATTTCTCTTCTCCCCTCCTTCTGGTCATACTGGAATAAATCCACCTATAGGAAGGATAGCCACCTGGTTCCCAACCCACCTCCTTTCGTTAGTCACCCACCAGGCGTTCAGCCCCAACATTTTGTAAGGGATATACAGTTGAATTTGACTTATGTTGGGCCATTAGCATTCGTGACCGTAAGCGTTAGTTTGCATTAGGTAGCTCTCGAATAACTACCGAAGTCAAAGCATCAACTGCCTGTCGAAATGCCCAATCTTATGCATGGTTTACAGGAAATTTTGCGGCATAAAAGTGATTATTTGGGAGAGAAAAAAGTCCCCGATATCTCTATGAGGCAGTAGAAAAAAGCGTTCGGGAATAAAAAGTTCGCCTTTGACGGTGATATGAACATCAAGTTTTACATGGTTACAAAGCATCTAGAGTGCAAGTTCCTGAATCATGATGGGTAGAATCGCGTTTCTTTATTTACTATGAGAATATTTACTTTGAAACTGGCTTTGTGTTCTTGTTATAGACACATCAAGAAGCACGTGTTATAGACACATCAGGATATTTCATTTTAGCATAGCGCGCTGGGCGTGGTTCGCGCATCCCCTCGTAAGCATTAGGTTTAATTTCTAGGTCCAAATCCATGGCAGAGAGCGCCGACGTGCCTGGAGGACCTCACGTTCAGTGACGGATCCCAACACCTGGGGGGACGACCGCGCCCTTATGATTCATATGAAGGGCAATCCAAAAATTTCCAGTTTTTTTCATCTAGCATCAGATCCTCTTGGAGCAGAGCCAATATTCTGGTCGAAAGGATATACTGCAGCAGTGACGATAATTTATGCAAGTGCTTGGGGTATATGCCATTTCTTGTCATTGTCATGGCATTTTTGGTCGAGGTCATTTCAGCGTTCTGACAGATCCTAACCTGTGAGAGGAGACCTCAAATCTCATATATTGCATAACAAACTTATTTCGTACCTATAATTGAAAGCAGCATTTGCAATGCCCGACTGTTACAGACCCAAGAACCAGCTTTTAGTTTATTCGTTCCAATTCCAGCAGACGAGTTGATAATTCCTTCATCCCAACTTGAGGATCTGAAATATAGTGAATATATAATATTATTGAAAATATACATAGAATGATATCCAATTAGATCCTATTCTCTGAGAGAGATTATATAAATCGAAGCTAGAGTTTTGTGTTTTCTTCACGAGAGGTTTATTCTGTTCTTAGATATTTTTTACTTTAATCCACAAATATGAAGAGGAAAAATTCTCCGGAAACTGTAAGAGCTCCGACGCCATTTCATGAGAAAACCGTTGCATCAAAAAGTCGGTAGCTGGTATCGTTGACAACACGGATGATGGTCAATGGAGTAAACAAATTCACAAATATTGCGACTTTTCATGAATGCAACAATAAGAAACAAGACCAGCTCGGTCTTGGTAGCAGGTGTGAAAATTCCGCGGGTATGTCCTGTGGTATTGAGATGTAAGATTAGTAGATGTGAGCAATGAGGGCATTCTCATTAGCATACAAATGCTCGCTCAGCAGTCCAGGATCTCAAAAAGAAGCTAAGAATGCGTGAAGGACGCCTGTCAAAAAGAAAGGAGGAGAATGAACGATTACAGGAATGGTGACCCTGAAACCAAACAGAGAGAAAAAAGAGAATAGTCAGTTGGGAGGGGAATGGCCACCAAGGAATACGACCACTTCATCGTACGTGTCATTTTGAGGGAATGTGGCTCATCAAACGGTGAGATGATAGTACGTTGAGCAACACTCGATAAGGCATGAGGTTGTGCGACCAAGATGTGGGTAATTTTTCGTACCATGTTATTGATGAGAGTCATATAAAAAACAAGGCAATGCAGTCAACTCAACTGCAGCTGCCACTTGGCGGGGGCAGGTGGGGAAGGTAAGCGTACCCTTTCCTAGAAATTTGAGTGCAAAGGATGGAGGATGACATGGAATAGGGAGACTTTCTCCTTCAAACAGTAAAACTCTGAAGCCTCTGAACGGACTGTGCCTATACATCGGGTCCACTGGGGGGCCAGTCATTGGGGAATTACATCAGCTGGAAAGCAGGATTCAAAGTCATACGCTGGCTGCCAAGATGAAGCAGAAGACGGATCACAAAGTTT